TGTATCTTAGTGTAGTCTACTTGTTTGCCAAGTTATATTTAAATCAGACCAAAACTGTAGGAGGAGTAGCATTTTTAAGGAATTTCACAGAAATTCTATTTTTAGTTACCATGGCAATACCGTTAATCAAAATCAAAATCTGATATATAGAATTATGTATCTTCTTGTAGTCTACTTGTGTGCCAAGTTATATTGAAATCAGACCAAAACTGTAGGAGGAGTAGCATTTTAAAGGAATTTCACAGAAACTCTATTTTTAGTTATCACGGCAACACCTTTTATCGAAATCAAAAAATGATACATAGAATTGTGTATCTTTGTGTAGTCTACTTGTGTGCCAAGTTATATTGAAATCAGACCAAAACTGTAGGAAGAGTATCATTTTAAAGGAATTTCACAGAAATTTCTATTTTTAGTTACCACGGCAACACCTTTTACCGAAATCAAAAACCAATATACAGAATTATGTATCTTAGTGTAGTCTACGTGTGTGCCAAGTTATATTGAAATCAGACCAAAACTGTACGAGGAGTAGCATTATAAAGGAATTTCACAGAAGTTCTATTTTTAGTTACCATGGCAACACCGTTTAACAAAATCAAAAACTGATACACAGAATTATGTATCCTCGTGTAGTCTACTTGTGTGCCAAGTTATATTGAAATCAGACCAAAACTGTAGGAGGAGTAGCATTTTGAAAAATTGTTTACAGACAGACGGACAGCTAGACAGACGAACGGACGCCGGACGCATTACTATCGCATAAGCTCTTCTGGTCTCTGACCAGTAGAGCTAAAAACTAACTGCCTCATCTTATCAACCTTAAGAAGTTTTAACAAGAGGCCCAGGGGCCACATCACATCACATTTGCTTGTTTTCTTTCATTTGTTCCTGAGAATAATTCACTTTTTAACATTATAATGCATTGTGAAAATTCAGAACAAAAAGGGTTTTTTTCACTAAAACAGTACTCAAAAGAAAAAGATTAAATAGCATGATAAAGCGAGACACTGTGTGACACCTCCTTCCCACCCAAACCTACCCCCCAAAAATTGTGTTTGTGTGTGTGGAAGGGAGAGGGTGAGGGAGTGTGTGTGTGTGGTGAAGTTGGGGGGGGGTTACACTGATATGACTCTATAATTCTGGCATTGGTTTCATTTTAACCATAAAATCTCCATGTAATATACATGTAGAATGTCACCCCAGTACACAGTGTAGATTTACTGAACACCTGCTACAGAAATACACAACATTCCTAGACAGAGCTGTGTTAATATCAACATGATCAATGCTGTCTATATCTGTCAACACTGTATAAAATGTTTGTAGTCACTGTGATTAAACTTTGTTTTAACACATTGAATGACATATTCAAAGTATATATTATCTAATGATAAGAATGATAAGAACTAGGATATTACCCCCCCCCCCCTCCCCCTCCGACACTCATGAACGGCAATTCTACAATTATTTTTCCATTTCCTGACATTTGTAGTGATCTATAAATTTAACCTACAACCCATCTAGCAAAGGAATATAAAAACATCATAATAGCCCAAATAGAAGACAGAATCAACAAGAAACTAGAACTGTCCAATAGGGACAAATACCCCCCGCTGGGTTTTTCAGAGAAGATGCCAATTCAAAATAAAGTGCCACGCCACAGCATGATACGCCCGTCAAAAAATTACACAAATATCTTTAACAGTTTAGAGTGCAAGAAAATCACTTCAATGTTGATTCTAAGATTTCCATGATTTTTCCATTAAAAAAAAATATTTCTTTATCCATCCCCTGTGCTCTAGACATAATTATAACAAATATTACATAACTGGCAGATTTCTTTACTGTTTGTGTTAGACTGTCAAATGCCAGCCATCATAATAAACAATTTTAAATTAGTCTTAACAACTTAATCTATAGATGTCAAATTAATTTTGAAAAGAAAGGCTGGCCATCAAATGACATTTGCTATGACCAGCAGTTCTTCTGTCTAATCCCCAAAGACAGATAAGGCAGCCCTTGATCAGATAGCCTTCCTACATTGAACTCATTAATTAATCTTTGACTGGATGCTTGTCTACTCATTCCTCCCTAAATATTAATGGATCTGCACTTCTTATCCTAAAACACTTTTAAAACATATAAAATACATCTCCATGATTTCTTTTTAGATTTAATGCCAGACAGGTTTTATATTTAATTCATATGGTCAAGTAGGCATGCTGATTCAACCCCACCCCATAAAATTAGTTTTTAATTAATTAATATTATATAATATCAGATTATTAGTATATAATGCAATATCAAATAAATTTTAATTACTTTTTATCAAATTCATTTTAAAACTTAGCTAGCCACCAAGAGCTATTTTAAGGTATTCAATGTATAACGAATGGATTTTGACTGATTTTAAATAATATTAAACTAGTTAAAAAGCACACCGCTAGAAAACAATAAAAGTGAAATAAACCAAATTCATAAGACTTATAACATGTAAGGAGACGGTCATTTTGCACATTTACAGTTTTTGAAGAGTTATCTGCCCTTGATGAAAAGAAGAAAATTTTTGATTTCACAAAATTTCTGTGGTTATATAATATTTTTTATTTTATATTTTAATAAAGAGGGAGTTTATACATATTTTCACCAATAGATTTCTTTGAAATTCAAATTACTTTTTACAATATCTTATAAAAACATACACTGCCCATAGACTTCAATGATAATTCAAAGTGATATTAATTGGACAATAATCAAAATTTTGTAAATTCCTTTGGTGGAGCATTTTCATTTGATAACATCTTCAAATTGCTACCATGATTAAAAATATCGGACAATTAATTTATTAAGTAAAAAATATGATCGTTATACATTGAATAACTTAATCTAACAGCTAGGCTGGCTGTCCATTTGCCCAATACCCAAGGGATAACACCAAACTTCCTCACACTAAACCTATTAATTTCTCTCTAATTTGACATGCAACTTTCTGCTATCAAAATTCTTCCTGACCAGTGCTTGATAATTATGCCCATGGGACAATATGAATTCCTCTCATTAAACACTGAAATATTTGTTTAAGATTGCTGTAAAGTATATGATGAAAAAATAAGTTTTTACTTGATTTAATACTTTTTAATAAGGATACAACTCTATTTTTTACATTTTTAGGAATATGAAATTTAAAATTTAAAAAACTTAAATTTTTTAAAAAATTCAAGGTCACAGTGACCTTGAAATAGGTCGCGACACACCTTCTACCTAAGATGTCAAGATACTTTTGCCAAGTTTGATAGCTCTAGGTCTAATAGTTTTCTAGTTATGAGCCGGACAGGATTTTTCCATATTTGGCCATAGCATCTTTATTAAAGGTCAGAGTGACCTACTTTTGGTGCGAGACACACCGTCTACCCAAGAAGTATCAGTTGACAAAGTTTGATAATCCTAGGTCTAATAGTATTGAAGTTATGAGCCGGACACAAATGGACAGACGGATAGACTGACATGAAGCCTATAACATAATACGTCCCGTCTTAAGATGGGCGTATAAATACTTTATGGATCTAGAGATGTTCACAATTTACTTAAAAAAATTGCAGTGAAATATAATTGCTCATCATGTTTCTAAATGAATGAAATGGAAGTGCAACCAAATGAAACATCAATACTAATACATTGTAATTCCATTGTAACATTTTTTTTTTTATTTTTTTCATTTAATTTTTCTTTATTACTGCATTAAAAAAATATATTGCAATTATGTGTTATGTCACTCTGCAAACTGATTGTTGAAAAAAAAACCATTATACAAAATCAAATTAATCTATATATATCAATTTGAAATACATTTTGAAAATAAAGAATTGGTCATCCAGTAATGAAGTGTTTTGACAGACAATAAATTACAATTAAGAGAATAAGAGAAGAGAGATCTTTAATTCTTGTGCCTTATTCCCTGAAGATTTGATAACACACACACACTTGATAAGAAATATCCCTTAACAACTTCCAGCACCAAACTCATTAATTTATCTTTACCTGGATGCATGTCCAGTCATTATTCCCAAGAGACAAATGAAATTGCATTATCTTATGTGCAATGTAAAAACTGTTTTTAACACTTTATGTTTCTTTTAAGTTTTTATGAGTAGTTTTAAGCTGTAGTTCACGTTTTTGTACAGATATTCTAGATTCTATTCCTCAAACCTTATACATGAGCCCAAAATGAACAAGTCAATTAAAATTTAAAAAAAACCTGTAAAATGCAGAAAAATGAACAAAAAGAGTTGAAAATTCCAGGTGCACAACTACATATGGTGAATAATAATTGTGCAAATTTTCAGATTAATCCTTGCAATAATTTCTGAGAAACGGTGCAAACAAAACCACAAAATAAAAATGAAAAAACACCTGTAAAATTCAAAATAATAATCCAATCAAGATGAAAAATATCAGGTGCACAACTTCATATGGTGAATAATATGTGTACAAATTTTCAGACAAATCCTTCCAATAGTTTCTGAGTAATGGTCCGGACAAAATCTCGTCTACAGACAGACGGACAGACGGACGGACGGACAGACGGACATGGTGATTCCAATATACCCCCCCCCCCTAAACTTCGTTTGCGGGGGGTATAATGAGAGTTAGTTAACCGTGTTTACAAATCATTATATTGTCTGTACTAATTCAGGAGTTGTTTGTCACAGACAACAAAGTTAACAACGATGTACACATTTAAATAACTCTAACATGTCTAATTATAAATCTAATATGAAAATCAAATCATTATTAATTTGACAACTTATCAATTAATATCCTTTTTTTTAAAAACATTTCTTGTTACATAACACAAGTTAGAATTTAATTAACCATGTAATGTATTTTTACTTAAAAGTTATCACTATGATAATTTCTGGTTAATGTCTTGTAATTACACATAAAACAATGACTATACTATATCATACACACTAAACATTGTAAACAAACATTATACTTCAGTATAACTTACCAGTCAGATTATCCCAATCATAGATAAGTCTGTAGATGTTCACTGTGTTGTATGATCCTACCCAGACAGAGCGGGTGTTGTCATCATAACTCAGGCTCCATGGTCTGTCTATCCCGTGTTGTACTGTAACTATCTCTGTCAGATAGTTACCGTCTCTATCAATGATATGTATTGTGTTGGTGATAAAATCACACAGCAGGATGTGTGACAGCGCGTCAGTACAGATTCCACCTGGTTCTAGTCCTGATCCTGATGGAGGTCCTGTGTAGGTAAACCGATGTCTCCCTCTTCTGTCTGTCACCACTACACCACTCCATGAGTCAGACACAATAACATCTCCATTGCGGTTCTCTGTGATGTAGTCAGGATAACTATACAGTTCCTGACCTGTGTTGTCGTGCTGTATGGTCTGTATGTGTTCTCCTGTGTTGGAGTAACGGTTTACCTTGCCTGCCCATGTATCAGTATATCTACGTATCCCGACCAGTAGGTCTCCAGTGGAGGGGGAGCTGTAGACACACTCTCGTCTCCATGGTGATGTGTATGGTATCAGTGTCGTCTTTACTTTATTTGTAGACAGTTTTATGATGTTATATTCACTGTCTATATAAATCAATTCATTATCACTAGTCACAGTATGTACTCCATAACCATATTGATATAAACCTGTCACTTGATCTAGTGTGTCTCCTGTCGTGTTAGTTAAGATGAGATTGCCTTCACCATCACTGATCCAGACCCGGTCTGTTGACACATGGGTAATGTGATTACACCCACTAACCCCAGACACTGTGACAGATTTCTGTAACACGTATTTATACATCACACCAGACTTCTATTTCTGTTTCCTGTGACTTTATAATCCTGTGTGGATTTCAGTCAGGGAGATCTCTCTGTAAATTACAACATTGTTCTAGAATTATCTACATCAGGAACACATCTCTGTTTATAAATAACAAATGTACTCATTGTAAAATGTTTTGGTTGTAAGAACTTAATATATGTTTATTTATTTTGGTTGTAAATATTATACTGTGTTAAACAATTTTAAATTAGATTTACCAGATAAACATAAATACCTTGACTCTGGCTTCTCAATGCTTTGTCTCCATTCATAGCAGCCTCCAAGTGTTCTCAATTAAACCTGTCTAACAAAGCAATATTTATAATTAAAACACATATAAATTGTGCCATACTGGAAAACAGTTCAGATTCTTACAGATGTTACCATGAAATCATTTAAAACATGACATTCAATAACATTGTATTTACAATTCAGTCTGTAAACTTTATAATTTACAGAAGAAAAATCATGATAAAAACTGCATACTTACCATTACTAATTCATATTTATTACAATAAAGTGTTAGAAAGAAAAGTTCTACAGTAACTATGAGACTCTATAGATAGGTATGATTACTGTGTATTTTAACACAGTTATAACAAGAGGCCCATGGGCCACATCGCTCACCTGAGCACACTGGCTAAGATTGATAGATTGTATACTGTTTAACATCCCTCTCCAGATTTTGGCCTATGCTCGGCACTAACGGCCTTTGAGCAGGGAGGGATCTTTATCGTGCCACACCTGCTGTGACACGGGGCCTCGGTTTATATGGTCTCATCCGAAGGACCGCCCCATTTATTCGCCTTTTACGACAAGCAAGGGGTACTGAGGACCTATTCTAACCCGGATTCCCATGGGACTCACTGGCTAAGAAAGAAAAGTTTGTTTTTTTTCACTGGCTAAGAAAGAAAAGTTTTTTTTTTTTTCACTGGCTAAGAAATAAAAGCAGAAATCACTACAGTATTGAGTAGTTTAGATGGGGGGGATCTAAAATTTTAAACTACCAACTACCTAGATAGAATGTTCTATCGTTAAAATGATATTGTCCTACGGACCCGGTTAAACGATAGAATTCGTTCCGTGTATTCGTAATGTAGCAGAAAGAAACATGGGCGATAGTGCATTTACTAGGAACAATCTAGAGAGTTCCGAATGTAAACATTTGAATGGAGAGAAAAACGTTGAAAAAATTAATTGGATTTACGTATTTATATGGATTATTTTTTGGGATAAAAGGCATAAGCAATCTCAACAAGGTTTGTTTGATTATTTTGGTAGTTATTCCCAGTGCAAATCATTTTATATTTCTTCAAAATCGTTTCGGAGCGGATCCGCTCCGATTTCCTACGTTGCAAGTATATGGGACGTATTATAACTGTGGTGAGGGCCTGTACCGAGACACAGTTAGATTATTCTAACTACCAACTACCTGATGATGCTTCCATACAACAAATACCATTACTGTTTTTGAGCAGATGATTTTCCCTATTTATTCATTTGACCCCCTCCCTCCCATTGTAAATTATTGTAAATTGTACTTATAAATTTCCAATTGTGGCCCACCCTACCTACCCCCTACTTCACATACATGACTTAGTTATTAGGCATTAGTTAAACCTGTCAAAATGGTGATTTCTTCCTCTTCTTTAGCTTTACATAGTTAAACAGCACATCCTGGGAGACCTGTCAAAACAAACTCAGTATAATGAGTAAATATTTCTGTATAGCTTCAGTGTTTTAAAAGACTAAATAAATGTTATTGTAATAGTATATTTTAGATTATTCATGTAAATGTAGACCCAAATTTTGTCAAGTCTTTAAAATACCAACCCGTTATATTAAACAAGAGGCCAATTGGCGACATCGCTCACCTGAGCACTATGGCTAGGAAAAAATACAAATTGGTTTATTATTGAAAAGTTTAAACCCGAAAGTAATTGAAGTAGTCCCATGACCAATCATTGCTTTGCTATTCTTGAGAAGATAAGAATTTTCCTATATATTTCTATGTAAAACTTTGGTCGACCATTGTGGCCCTTCCCTACCTCCCGGGGGTCATAATTTGAACAAACTTGTATCTGCACAACCTGAGGATGCTTCCATATGAATATGATCAATTATGGCCTTGCTATTTTTAGAAGAAAATTTTTAAAGAATTTTCGTACATATTTCTATGTAAAACTTTGGTCGACCATTGTGGATCTTCCCTGACCCCGGGGGTCAAAATTTGAAGGAAATGGAATCTACACTACCTGAGGATGCTTTCAATTAAATATGATGAATTATGGCGTTGTCATTCTTGAGAAGAAGATTTTTTAAAAATTTTCCTTTAAATTTCTTTGTAAAACTTTGGTCGGCCAATTTGGCCCCGCCCTACCTCCAGGGGTCATGATTTGAACTTGAATCTACACTACCTGAGGATGCTTCAACATGAGTTTCATCTTTCCTGGCCCAAGGGTTTTGGAGAAGAAGATTTTTAAAAGATGCAATTAACTTTTTGCTAATTCATAATTATCTCCCCTTGGAAGAGAGCTTGGCCTTTCATTTGAACAAATTTCAATCCCCTTCATCAAAGGATACTGTGTGCCATGTTTGCTTGAAATTGGCCCAGTGGTTCTTCAGAAGAAGTCGAAAATATGAAAAGTTTACAGACAGACAACAGGTGATCAGAATAACTCACTTGATATTTCAGCTCAGGTGAGCTAAACAAGAGGCCCATGGGCCACATCGCTCACCTGAGAAGCTCTGACAATTCTGTACTTTACTAGATTTACCCCTTGTAATACATATTGTGACCTCACCCTACCCCACTGATCATAATTTAGACAATTTGAAATCTACACTACCCCAGGATGCTTTCATATATAAGTTTCAGCTTTTCTGGTCCCCGCCCAATCCCCAGGGGTCATGATTTGAACAATTTAGAATCTACACTACCCCAGGATGCTTCAATATAAGTTTCAGCTTTTCAGGCACAATGGTTCTTGAGAAAAAGATTTTCAAAGATTTTTCCTATATATTTCTATGTAAAACTTTGATTCCCAATTGTGGCCCCGCCCAATCCCCGGGGGTTATGATTTGAACAATTTAGAATCTACACTACTCCAGGATGTTTCCACATAAGTTTCAGCTTTTCTGGCACAGTGGTTCTTGAGAAGAAGATTTTCAAAGATTTTTCCTATATATTTCTATGTAAAATTTTGATTCCCCATTGTGGCCCCGCCCAATCCCCAGGGGTCAAGATTTTGACAATTTAGAATCTACACTTTCCAAGGATGCTTCCATATAAGTTTCAGGTACAGTGGTTCTTGAGAAGAAGATTTTGAAAGATGTTTCCTATATATTTCTATGTAAAATTTTGATTCCCCATTGTGGCCCCGCCCAACCCCCGGGGGACATGATTTGAACAATTTAGAATCTACACTTTTCCAGGATGTTTCCATATAAGTTTCAGCTTTTCAGGCACAGTGGTTCTTGAGAAGAAAATTTTCCAAGAATTTTCCTTTATATTTCTATGTAAAACTTTGATTCCCCATTGTGGCCCCGCCCAATCCCCGGGGGTTATGATTTGAATAATTTAGAATCTACACTATCCAAGGATGCTTCCACAAAAGTTTCAGCTTTCCTGGCACAGTGGTTCTTGAGAAGAAGATTTTCAAAGATTTTTCCTTTATATTTCTATGTAAAATTTTGATTCCCCATTGTGGCCCCGCCCAATCCCCAGGGGTCATGATTTGAACAATTTAGAATCTACACTACCCCAGAATAATTCCACGTAAGTTTCAGCTTTTCTGGCCCAGTGATTCTTGAGAAGAAGATTTTTTAATGACCCCACCCAATTTTTGTCTTTTCTTGATTATCTCCCCTTGCGAGGGGATAAGTCCCTTCATTTTAACAATTTAAATTTCCCTTCACCCAAGGATGCTTTGTACCAAGTTTGGTCAAAATTGGCCCAGTGGTTTTTGAGAAGAAGTCGAAAATGTGAAAAGTTTACGGACGGACGGACGGACAGACAGACGGACAGACGGACGGACACACATTTGGTTATATATTGGGTACATCAAGTCCAAGTCCTATTGGATACTGCTTATTGGATACAAAAAAAGTGTATACACGAGAGAGCATTATTTGGGTAGTTACTGTTCAAATCTTATTGGATATTAATTCTCGTGTCCGTATTTTATTGGATTTTTTCTTATTGTTTTTTATTCATTTCAAATTTATTATATATTTAATATTTGCTGGTAAATTCAGACAGGACTGAAAACCTTTGGTTTTGAACTCATATTTTTGTCAATTTCTGTGATATAGCTCTTTTATTGTAACACCTAACTAATCTGTTCTTAGCAATAGGGATATACACCTGTATATTTCAAAATATCTAATATTAAAATATATGAATACCTAAGTGCAAGAAAACTGAATTGTGAAAACACAACTCAACACATCTCAGACTCTGTTCAACCTTTCTTGAATAACAAAATTAAGTATTTAAGGAGAACACTTTTTGAGTCATGACCAGTTAATAATAAGCAAATGCCCATTACATGTTGGACAGAATGAAGGTATCCAACAGGCATTGGACAGGTGTCCAATACCTGTTGGGTTGTATTTTGACGAAGGGATTAAACTACCCAAGAACAATTGAACATGTGTACATTGTCCAATTCTATTTGGGTTTCTTGAATCTCCTCATCAAAATACAACCCAACAGGTAATGGACACTTGTCCAACTCCTCTTGGATATCTACATCCCACCCAACAGGTAATGGACACTTGTCCAATTCTTCTTGGGTTTCTTGAATTGTTTCATCAGAATACCACCCAACAGGTAATGGACATCTGTCCATCTCCTCTTGGATATCTACATCCCACCCAACAGGCAATGGACACTTGTCTAAATCTTGGGTTTCTTGAATTGCATCATCAAAATACAACCCAACAGGTAATGGACACCTGTCCAACTCCTCTTGGATATCTACATCCCACCCAACAGGTAATGGACACTTGTCCAATTCTTCTTGGGTTTCTTGAATTGTTTCATCAGAATTTACCACCCGACAGGTAATGGACACCTGTCCAACTCCTCTTGGATGTCTACATCCCACCCAACAGGTAATGGACGCTTGTCCAATTCTTCTTGGGTTTTTTGAATTGTTTCATCAGAATACCACCCAACAGGTAATGGACATCTGTCCAACTCCTCTTGGATATCTACATCCCACCCAACATGCAATGGACACTTGTCTAATTCTTGGATTTCTTGAATTACATCATCAACATACCACCCAACAGGTAATGGACACCTGTCCTAATCCTCTTGGATATCTACATCCCACCCAACAGGTAATGGACACTTGTCCAATTCTTCTTGGGTTTCTTGAATTATTTCATCAGAATAGCATCCAACAGGTAATGGACATCCGTCCAACTCCTCTTGGATATCTACATCCCACCCAACAAGCAATGGACACTTGTCTAATTCTTGGGTTTCTTGAGAATCTCCTCATTAGAATACTACCCAACGTGTACCCAACATGTAATGGACACCTGTCCAATTCCTCTTGGATATCTTCATCCCTTCAATAGTATATAAACTAAAAGGTATTGGACATTCTTCTTGGCTTACTCAATTTTTTTTCATAAGAAAGAAAACCCAATAGGTATTGGACATTGGTTCAACTCTTCTTGGATATTACATCCCAACATTAGAATAAAACGCAACAAGTGATGTTAACCTGTCCAATTCTTCTTGGGTTACTTAAACCCTTCATTAAAATTGTCAAATTTGTCTTGGATATTTATACTCTTGCATTAGATTGCAAACCCAATAAGTATGACATTTACCTTCCCTAGCTGAATTCAAATTTATCTGCATAAGCATACATAAGTCCAAAACATATTTAATACTTTAATTCTAATATTCCACATCTCATTCAGTGTACACTTTACAAATGATAGGAAATATATAAGCACTTTGTGCCTAAACTATTTGGCTTTTAAAGAATTTTATAACCATGTTTGCAAAATTTAAATTTAAATATTGGAATTTGGAGCAAGTCATTACAGGTAGAGCAAGATGCCGAAAACCATATTGATAAAAAAAGCACACCCTTGATAAAATATTTGCCTTCAGTTGCTAAGATTGTGTTGTATTATATGGATAATTTCTATAATCCTGTTTATTACAGATACATGTACAATGCATATTTTCCCTGTAATAATAAAAATACTTCTGAGATGTAAAAGAATGGATTAAATAGATGTTAAAAGATATTACATTATATCATTAATCTGGTTTGGAAATCACAAACTTAGTTTTGAAGCCAAATAAAACAGTGTCGCACCAGAAAACTCAGTTACAAGTACAATGAATGAATTCCTTGTACCAAAACTTTAAAATAATTGATGCACTATGTCCAAATCTTTTCGACAAATCGGGATAAAGATATTAAATCAAATCATCACTGTTATAAGTCTTAGAGCTAGAGAAAAGTCATTACATGCCCAAATTTTACATGTAAGACTTTGATCCTATATTTCAATAAATGTCAAAATGGTTTTATTCTTGTTTCTGTTCAATACTTTCTTCCTCAGGGTCTCTCATGGCCTATACTGTATGATACATCCACTGACCCTGCTCTTTTATATTGCCATATGTTTATCCAGAAGCAGTGGTTATG